GATCTGTAGATATCACTCCAGGAAGATTACAAATTGCTCCTGTTTTTGGATTCTACAGAGAAACGTGGATATTCTTCATTTCTCTGCAGCTGTGTGCCTCTACTGTTGCCATCACTGCTGTTAATCTCCTCTATTTCACAGCAATTTACATTTATAGACAACTGCAGTCTCTGCAGCAGTACTGTAATCATCACATTAAGCTTTTTAACTGCCTGTCAGGTTCCCTCCGGAATATTTCACAATTTTAAGCAAACATGGTGATATATGGTTTATGAAAGTATATGGAAAACACTGGAGAGAGGGTAATGATCTACTGGAGGATAATTTCAGCAACGAGGTACGAGTGTCGCACAGCCGAATAAGCAGAGAGCTGTTATTCCCAGCAGAGAAGTTTCAGATATTAGATTTATTGACCTGGCAGACGGCATGAAAATGAGACAATTGTCCAGCTCGTTTTGCTCTCAGTTTGCATTTTATGAGAGAAAATTTTAGCCAATTCATTTCATGATATGAAAACCTGGTGGATAATTTATGAGTCTGTGAGCCACACTGAGAGCAGAACAGGATATTCTGCACATAAATGATGAGTAATTTCAGCAGTAAAACAACACCCTGGCCACTTCAGTACTCTGTGTGCCAGAGTTTTAATACAAAAATGGGTCTAATTTTTATAGTATTCATATCCAAGCTAACGTAGAAAATGCTTCCATGATTTGAAGGCAATCTGCATTAAAAATCTAAGCAGCAGTTGTGCTTAATTTGTCTCCTTATTAAGGTGACATAAACCTTTCTTTTAAGAACTTGTACATGAAAATAAATAATAAAAAATGAACTAAAGCAATATATAAAGTCTAACAATAAAAACAGGCAGAAACGATAAATATATGTGCAGCATATCAGGATCTTTCAAGACAGTGAAATAGAGACTAAAGAGCAGTATCCCAACAATGAGTCCATGCTGCTCCACCCTTTTCAATCAAAGTTGTACAAGGAAGTCTCAACAAAGATGTCTAGTCTATGTATTAAAGATTTACCCTGGTTTCCCAGGTGGAACCAGTGAAGCTTTAACATAATTTCAGTGTGTGTTTCAAACGTACCAGTTGAGGAGTGCCCTGACACCTGCTGACTGGAGACCAGCGACCTGGAGCTCAACCCTTAAAAACATAGGAATAGGAACATGAAGAGAAAGTTAGTTGTGATCAATGTTGGAGTTGTTACTCAAAAAAAGGTAATGTATTACACAGTACTTTACTTTTTTGAAACAGGTAATGAACTACATTCCTCAGCTGGTACCTGAGGAAAGTCATTTATCTAATACAACTTCTCCTTTGTGACATCACGTATGCTTTGCATGGCCTGAGATGCACTGTCAGATAATTACCAATTAATAGTATGAGAGTAATGTGTGACTTAAGCCTTTTAGAGCCTACGTCGTAGTACACTCAAGTGGCCGACACTGTTGTGTGTTGTGTGCATGCATTGCTCTGCAGTTCCACTGCCAATACACTACTTGGTGCTGAAGATTCTCTCTTTGAATTGATCCATTGTCTACAGGATGAGCCAATCACAGTTGATTACAATCTCTGTTAATGTGACATCTTGTTACATTTCTAGGGAGATGCATGTGAGGTTATGGCGTAAGTTAAAGCACAGGGATTCAGAAAGGTTTGTGGTTATGGTGCATCTATGGCATAGATTTATCACAGAAGCTTAAATCTCACTTTAGGCTATAGCCCCACACAATGACACAAATCTCTATCCTAACCACGACAAACACACAAAATATGTTTTCAGTGTTTAAGAACAAACATCAGGTTGACAACAAAGCTGAAAATCAGCAAAAGGAGTCACGTTAGCAACAGCTTTTTCGGCTTTTTAGTCTGTTTCCACTTTAATATTAGCTCCTCACCCGTTTTGTGAAATTAGAGAAGAAGTATTATTGATGTGTCCACTCCTGAAAACTTGCAACCACTCAACTAATTTTTGCCTCCCTGCACATGATGTGAAGTCATCTAATTGTAGCATGTGCAGGAAAAAAATGCACGTTTGATTTTTTTATTTTGAAATCCACCAATCCTGTAGGTCAGCGGTCCCCAACCCCCGGGCCTCGGACCGGTACCGGTCCGTGAGTCGTTTGGTACCGGGCCGTGAGAGTTGAGGCTCAGGTGTGAAATGTATAGTTTTCAGGGTTTTTATCGGTTTTCAGCGTTATTTTGTTATTGTTTTTATTGTTTACTTGGTTTTCCTGGGTCTTTTCACGTGTGTTATGAATAAATCTTCTTTTTTTTCCCGGTACCGGTACTAGTTTTATCTAATCTATTTATCCGCGACACCTTAAAGGCCGGTCCATGAAAATATTGTCGGGCATAAACCGGTCCGTGGCGCAAAAAAGGTTGGGGACCGCTGCTGTAGGTAACTGAAGAACTTTCTTAATGCAAGTAACACCATAACTGTAATGTGATTACTATGTTACAGAAAAATGTAATGTGATTCCAGTAACATGTTACTTTGTATAGCATATCTCATTATCTAAACACTGTCTGCGTTTGTTTTGCAGATTCATACCTTGGTAGATGTCGTACTGTCCTGACATCAGATTGTAGCTCATACCCAGGTGTGTGTGATGGTGTGTGTGGAGGTGTCGGGCGAATGACACATGGTTCCTCTCTCTCTCCGTCTCTCTCTCTCCCTCAGGGGATCCCTTCTCACCAGGCTACAAACACACACACGCACGCACATACAGACATACACACACACTTACACTGTGCCTTTCACTTTTCTGTCTCCATAAGATTTTAGATGTGATCACTATTTTGATCTATTACATTCACATCATGCCAAGAGAAGTTATTTTATATTGATAAAATCAAATCAAGAATCGTCTTGGCTAATTTTGCCAAGCTTAAGAAAAAATTGCAAAATTGTATCTCTATGATTTTTTCAGCGAACAGCAAAAAGTTTGTTTCTGCCTTCTGAAGTGACCCATGTAAGACAAGACATCCTGAAACAGTCATGCCTTTGTTAACAAGTTTGCATGGTGATAGTGTTTAAATACACACATATTCAGGCCTATAATAAGAAGCTAATGAGTAAAATCCAAGTTCAGGTTGGGAGATGTTATATATGAGATAAGCAGCCACCACTTACAGACTAGCCAAAGTACCCTTACCAATCCTGGAAGAGCCTGTGGACCACAAACCATGATGTAGGAGGAGCATCTATGGGTTTTAGTGTCAGTCTGAAGTCGAAAAGTCAAAAGTTGTGCATGTTTTGTTGCGTACATTGTGTTAGAAGCAACTTGATTCCTGCTTTTCTCCTGTTACCTGCAGGCTACTGTAACACATTTTTGGTTATTTAAGCTTTAATATATGCGCCTTAAACTTGTTAAAAAATGAGATTTGTAAGTGTGCTAATATTCAAATTATTTTATTTTTCTTTAACTGTTAAACTTCACAAAGGCTAAAACTGTCTAGGGCCCATGTTTAGATACTAACCCCATGTTTGCCTACTGGTGGTGGTCAGAGGGCCC